TGGTTGGGTTGGGGGGGGGGGGGGGGGGGGCGGTGACTGGTGAGGCTGACCCCCATAGACCAAAGACTATTCTAAGCGTGATTAATGGGCAATATAATCCATGAATTTATTACTTCTAACTCTTTTGGACGAGTCCTAAATTCTAATTCACATTTTTGGCCAATTCTTGGATGGAACATGGGGCTTCAAGAGTAAATGACCCCACTAAACAAATGCATACCCCCAACTTTTCCTTTTTCTTTTCATATTATTATTCAGACTAACTTAAACACATCGACTCAAAAACTACACTCATAATTTTGAAATTTTGATTCTAAAACTAAAAAAAAGGTGAGATAAAAAAATCACACGATTAACTTGACTAATTTCAGAAAATACCTATTACTTCTCACTCGTTCACCAAGATTTAAACATATCATATGAAATTACCTATTATTTTTCTTATATAATTTTCAACTTACTTTATTGATCATAGTAAAACTAGGCCACACTGATATCCCCTTTTTTCTTTTAGTCACTCTCAAGTTTCAACTACCACCTAATTAAGCAAAGCTACACACTTAATAAAAAGTGAAAGTGCAAAATCTCAGCAACCAAAATTCACCACTCACTTTAAGCCTTTTAAACATTATAATATAATAATGTCTTCATATCCACCTTCATTATAAATATTTCTACAACCCCTTCATTTTCATTTCAAGCACAGACCAAAAATCTGAGCAGAAAAAAAAAATACAGTAAAGGCCATGGATTGGTTTTCTTGGTTGTCCAAAACAGAGCTAGAGCCTTCTCTTGTGTATGAATATGGCCTAGCTTTAGCTCATAACGAGCTCGAATACGACGACGTCGTTTACTTCAACCACGAATTTCTCCAAAGCATAGGCATTTCGATTGGCAAACACAGATTAGAAATTCTCAAACTTGCTAAGAAAGAAAAAGGAGCGATCCCAAATTCCATGTCGAGATTTCTCCAAGTAATTAAACGCACAAAGAGGCGTTTGTCAAAGTATATAAGGAATTGGGGTCATAACGAGGAATTAGCACTTGCTTTAGTCCCAAAAAAGATTAGCAGTTCCAGATGGAAAAATTCTATGCTGAAGAGGAGGAGGAGCAGCACAAGGGTTGCTGCAGCTAAGCAGAATACTCTGTTAATCACAAATGGGAGTCCCAATTTCATTTCAGATTCAAGAATGAACAGTTTCTCTAGTCCGACGGTTAATGATGAAAAAATGGGAGATGATTATTGGGCGTCGTGTGGAGTTGAAGCAATCAGGTGGGATACAATGTTTCAAAATCTAAAACCAACTTAATTTCTCTTTGCTCGATAGATGTCGTCTCAACTTTAACTTTCTGATTTGAGTTCTAGATATGAAAAAAATTCTAGTAATGGGCCTTACATACATGATGCGAATTCGAAATATTGAAGGAACTCCGGGTGGAAAAACAAATAAAATGGTGAGAGATTTGGAATTTCTGTTTGCTCATCAGTGGTGGACCCAAGGAGAAAGTCACCCATGAATGTATAGTGTGTGTTATTCATGGGATTATTATTTCAATGATTTTACATGTTTCTTAAGTACTTCCTTTATTTATTTAATTCAGAGATCCGAATATAGTGATGTATTTGAGTTTAATGATTTAATGAAATTCATAGAAGTTATAATCGTCATGATGAAGATGTATATAACTGAATTTAATTCTAAAGAGTGACCTTAGAGCAAAGTGTACTGTGAGGGTCCTTATCATCAATAGCTACGGCCCCAGTATGTCCACTTCTTAGCAGGTTTACCCGACGCGAAGCACAATGTACCTACAACAGAGTAAAATGACATATTAGATGATGGCAATAACGCTGAGCCTTCAACAAATCTGCAGGGAAATTGTACCTTCAGGCAGCTCAGGCTGATCAAATGGGGAGCAAAGTGTCTTTACTGAACCCATCTCGCCCTTTGTGCGTGCCTTGACATCTTTCTCAACGTCCTACCAGAAAGCAATTATGTGAAATTAAAACCAAGCTGACAACTACGTGCATCACCATAAAACACACATAGGAATGTGTATCAGGGATCACATAAATTGTGCAAATTCATATTATTATTGTAGAGAGAAATTACTATGACAAAATAAAACATGCTACTGGCTGAAAAACAGGATGCATCTTTTATGGGGTAGTAGCATCACTTTGAAGTTAGACAGGAAACATACCTCCTCATCACACCAAGGAGCCAAGACCAATTTCTTTTGGCCCAGTGCTACAGTAAATTCATCCCAGGTTCTTACAATCTGAACACATGCATCTCTCTTTTGCTTGGCAACATCGAATAGATTTTGTTGGATAGTGGCAAGCAAATCTTTTACTTGTTCGGCAAGATTGGCCATGGGAATATCGGTTTTGGCTCCGTTGTCACGTCGAACAGCTCGTACCTTGGAGTTATATCAGAACTTTGAATCAAACAACATAGGTAAACATATACACGTGTATTTAGGCTTCCACACAAATAGTAAAGGTTCATCACACAAATTTTACCGAGTTCATTTTAACTTTCATAAACAACTTACTACTAGAACGAAAGGAGAGGAAGTAGAATTCTTACCTGGTTATTTGCAAAGTCTTTTGGTCCTATTTCAATCCTAAGAGGAACCCCCTTCATTTCCCAATGAGAATATTTCCAGCCAGGTGAATAGTTGTCTCTGAAGTCTGCCTCAGCACGAATACCTGATTCATTCATTTCTCTAACGGTAGCAGCACAAGCATCATAGATCCCTTGAGTATTTGCATCCTTGTATGGAACAGGAATAACAACTACTTGAGTTGATGCTACTTTAGGAGGTAAGACCAGACCTTTGTCATCCCCATGAACCATGATCATAACACCAATCTGTCAGAGCCCCAGGAAAAAAAAAAAGAGGGGTTAGTTTGACCTCCAAAGTATAAAAGTGAAGAGACAAAGTTGCTTAAATGGCATTGAATTCTTACTGTTCTTGTAGAAAAGCCCCATGAGTTCTGCCAGACCATAGCCTTCTCTCCCTTTTCATTTTCAAAATTTATCTCGAAAATTCTTGCAAAATTCTGCCCTAAACAATGAGAAGTTGCGCCTTGGATACCACGGCCAGTATTAGGGATAAAAGCCTGGCAAAAAAATCAGGGAACAATGGTGAATAAATGACAGGAGAATTTCACCAACAATTTCCAAAGAAAATACTGTTAAGAACCGCCAAACAATGTCTACACAGATGCAGTCTTCAATACCTCAACTGTAGTCGTATATAGTCCACCAGCGAACTTCTCAAGCTCACTTTTCTTTCCCTTACTGACCGGAACAGCTAAAAGTTCTTCATATATACGTCTATACAATTCCAAGATTTCTAGAACCTGAATAAAGACAGTTGCAAGATCACTATGTATGAAAAAGACTACATCTATAAGCAAAAACACTGAACTTGAACAAAGAAGGGGAAAGCTGATAGCAGCAAGTCTTCCTTAGGCTTAGGGCATCTCAGTTCCAAAGCTATTAATTCTCATAAAAGTCTATTGATTTGCTCAGATAATTATCCAGCAATAATGCAAGACAAGAAGTCAACTAGGAGAAAACCACTTCAAGTAAAGAAGGGTAAGCCAAAGCGAACATAAAGTAGTCCTTAACTGATGTTTAATTTGCAGGCTGAGAAATATAAATCTCAAATACTTAATTCACAAAGACAATAATGTACCAATGTAGAAGGCAGGTTTGGCAAGTGTTGGAACGGACGAATTCTAAACTGATCTTATAGCTGACCTGACCCAAATTATGACACTGGCTCCAAGGTTACATATATACATGAAAGTAACTTCTTTGCTAGTTGTCATACCCCTATCCTGAAGTAATAGTTCATATCTGTACTGAGAGTGTTCCATAATACACTCATATAATTCTACTTCTTATTTTGCCAACCCATTCCCTTTTCCTTTTTGGACAATCAAATAAAAAAAATCACTTTCTGAGGAAGCTACAATCTGATCCATTCTTCATTTCAATATAACTCTCACCAATTTAAACCTATTAAATAAAAGAGCAAAATGTTACCCACATTCTCCCATTTGAAACTGAACGATACACATTTCTAATTTCTCTTATTTGTACCAACTTCAAATAGGACATAAAACTTATGTCAATTCAAATTATCTTTGATGCTGAAACAACAAATATTGAAGTTGACAGACGATATGATTCATCTTTTATCTCCTAGTTCTTCCAAAGACCTAAGCTGTTAACAACTGGTTTGAAGGACTAAATGTAAAAGCTCATAAACAGCCTAATTACAAATTAATCAATGAAGAGAAGAAAACTAGATAGGCCCATCAGTAATCACCCCGACAGCTGTAGACTTCCAACTTCCAACTTCCCAAAAGATACTCTCTCTGTTCCCCCAGGTAACAAAAAAAAGAAGCAATGTCATGTTCTTCATGTTCCTTGCTTTGGCATTAGTATCACAAAGCTAAATTGTCTGTCCTAGAAGCGCCTACTAGTTCTATGTTGATTTATTACCTAATAAAGTTCTTCTCACGGAACTAACTGTATAAGCAATGACAAGACTAAGATGGCATCATACATGATACAACAAATAAAACACAGGAAAAAAGCTGAACTGGAAAATTCACTTTAAAACTACCTTACAGAGTTATTATATTGTTATCTACATCCAATGCACTCAAGCCACGCACTACACCATGGTACTTAAAGGTTTAGTTTTTGTTTTAAACAACTTTAGAGGCCGATATGCATACTCCAAGATATAACCATATACCTCTGCATCCGATTCCTCCTTTGTTGCAAAAGCAGTGTGTCCTTCTTGCCAGAGAAATTCACGACTCCTGAACAAGGAACATAAGCAAAACATTAACTAACATCTCGAAGTCTCAAAGAAGTTAGGATTAAGGAGTTACGGATCTGTTTGGCCATAAAAATTATTCATTTTTTTAGGGAATAATTTCACTTAATTTGAAAATCAGCGTTTAACCATGAAAATCCCAAATCCAACTTGAAGTTGTATTTCAAATTTGGAAAACAACAAATAACTTGTTTTCCAACTCACTTTTCACTTTTCACTTTTGAAGTTGGATTTAAGTACATTCAAGCATGAACGTTATTTCAAATATTCTTTGCAAAAAGTATAACCAAACACAACTCCATAAATTCCAAATAAAGAGAAAAATATTTGGAATTATTGCCAAACACCTATGTAGTTTTTGTTGTATAAGCTGCAATCGAAAACGCTTGAACATGCTCACAAAGGAATGGTAAAAGGTTTTAAGACAAAAATAAACTCAAAAGAGCACCTGATGAAGGGGTAGGGTAAAAGGTTTCAAGACAAAAAAATAAACTCAAACGAGCACCTGATGAAGGGGGTGGGGTTGCTAAACTCCCATCGCACGACATTGCACCATTGGTTGAGTCTCAAGGGCAAGTCACGATGTCCCCTTATCCACTTAGAGAAATAAGGATACATTACTGTTTCACTAGTGGGTCGAATCGCAATGGGTACTTCCAAATCAGAATCACCAGATTTTGTAACCCAAGCAACCTGAAGAATGACATAAACCCATTATGGGCATAGCTAATAATAAGTCTATAACACAATCCACTCCCCATATAGTAACTGAAGGGGTGCTGAAGAATTATAAGCCTTGAGCATAGTTATTAAAATTTATAGAATACATTACACAAGTGATGATACCAACTTAACACCATAATATGATACTTACACAACAAAGTTATTACTATTAAAGTTAACCCCAACCTAAAAAAAGATCCAAAAAAATTCAGGCTTCTGGGAATCGTACATCACCCAAATTCTCTATATCTTTTTTTTTTATACCAGAGGAATCCCTCGGAGCCAGTGGAGAAAGTTAGTGGGTAATGTATGCATTTCTCTACCTAATTCACTTCAATATCGGCTTTTATCTGTGGCAGGATTTGAACCCGTGACATATGCCTAACCCACACATTACAAGTTAGCTCTTACCATTAGACCAAAAGCTACATCACCAAAATTGATGATGACTTTCTGAACTTTATGATACATTAGAATGAAGTTTTTAAAGAAACAAATAGCAAAGCCCTTGTCGCTATTAAGTACTATCTTCAGCAACAGCCAGCATGAATAACAGGGCAAACATTCTAATTACAAATATTTTGAAAGATTCCAGGAAATTTCAGCATTAAAGATATAAATATTATAGGCAGGAAAGTGAGAAACAGTGGAGTAAACATTTATATCGAAGACATTGTACACGCTTCACTGGCTGAAAGAAGATAAACTGTCCTACAATAATTGACTTAAAAAAGTGCCAAGTCTCACCTCAGGTGCAAATCCCTCTATGTGGTCCTTTTCCTTTTGAAGAACAGCAGGGGACACAAACAGAGGAAAGTAGGAGTTCTTTATCTTCATTTTCTTAATTTCGGCATCGAAAAAACCCTGAACATACAGAGCTAACAATCAATCCATCATAAATGACCTCAAATAATTAGTGGTGGGAGAAAAAGAGAATTTTCATGGTCAAGCTTACATGCAATATCTCCCAGATAGACATTGACCATGGCCGTAGAATATAACAGCCAGATATGTCATAGTACTCGATCATTTCACCACTAACGACAACCTATATTGATTGGTTAATGGAGAAGCTTGTAAGTCAAAATTTCATAAATGATGAGAAGGAACTCACACATATAGTAAAATAGACGACACTTATCCATATAGAGAGAGCAGAAATGGATTGGGAAGGAAGGAACTAGTATTGCATTCAGGAGGACTTTAGTCAGACAGATATTTGTACTAGTTATGTGTTAAGGAGTAAAGAACTTCAAGAAAAATCTGTCTTCTAAAATATTGGAGAAAGAAAAAAATAGATGTGACCACTGGAAGTGGAAGAGCTATTTGATGAGACTTCATCAGATGATTGTACAAGAAAGTATTCATTAGCATAAGAAAATTGGGAGATCTGTGAAATTGGACAAGAAATTACAGGGAAAAAGAACAGAATAATGAGGAAAACATTCAGTAGAACAAGAAATGGAAAATTTATGAAATTTGACAAAATTATAGGGACAAAACAGAAGGAGAAAAAATGACAATGGAGCAAGAAAGAAAGTTAAACATAGTTTTGAGCTTCTTTCCATTCCATCTTTGTTTTTGCACCAATGCAATTGACCACAGACACATCGTCATACGAACATGAGCAGGTAAATATTATCAAATTTGATAGCTCATATAGTTTGATCGCCCAAGCATACCTCAGAATACCACTCTCCAAAATTTTCATCCTTTTTGTAAGAGAGACCAAGACCTGTCTCTTTCTTGACTTCTTTCATTTTTCCCTCTGAAGAAAGACAAAAAATGATGTATATTACACAAACCAACCTAACTAGAGCAGCAAGTCTTCTTAAAGAGATATAATGTAGCATTATTACTTACTTTTTGGATCTTTACCAGACATGCTTTCAAGCTTCCAATTAAGTATACACACAACCAATAGCCAAGATAGCTGCTTCATAAATGAAGGTTCGACAACCAACCCATGAAAATAACAAATATCAGCTACTTCTCTTTTCTCATTTATTTGATCAGCACCACAAGAAGATAGTGATACTCCCCACCTCCCCCTCTTTTTGATTTTTATTTTAGAGAGATAAATCAAAATTTTCACATAAGAGTTGAATTATTCCAATGTAATCAAGCGCAAAAAAGCTCTAAAGTCCGTTGGGGCAAATAAAGCTAGGGCTTTAATGAAAAAAGGCGCAAATGGCGAATAAATGCAAATATCTATGTTTAGCTTAAGAGTAATAATTAAAAGCATGAATAATAAATATATGGACAAAGACATTAGAAAAAAAATAAACAATGAAGTGTTGCTTCTTCAAGAAAGACTCATTGAGAAGGAAAAGTTGTATGTCTTAGGGCCTTGATGACGACACTGAAGGGCACATTAAGCAGGCGGGTTTAACAACACTGATTTTTTCCATCCTTGTAGTTGTTATAGTTTACAAAGTTGTTGTATGAATACAAGATAGAGCATTTTGATATGCAGAAAGATACAGGTGATAGAACTAGTCTAGGACATAAGTAAGAACAAGATTCCAACTTGAATGCCTTTTATACTAATATTAGTAAGAACAGCCATATACAAATGCGGGAATAAAGAGAAGAGAAAAAACTAACTAAAGTTACAACATTTGAGTAAAAAGACTTGCTTTATAGGGGAATTATAGTGTTGAAACTGTCAAACTACATCCATTAGACTATGTTTAGAGTGTAGTGTAAGCTTAAATTCTACAAGGAAGCAGGAGATAGTGAAACTTACATGAAACAGATAAAGCTCCCAAAAATCTTATAATAAAAGAAGTTGGATTTAGGGAAGATAAAATGCAAAGCTTGACTAACCTTGCCAGAAAAGAGACGTTTTCGATGGAGGGCCGGCTGCTTTATATACTATAAAAATAAAGACTTGTTAATTGTTGTATTGATGGATAAGAAATACTAGAATGTATTCCCTTTTTTCTAAATTATTTGTCCACTTTTGAATTAACACAAAGTAATTATTAATATAATGAGTTTATCATTTTACCTCTATTAATTATGAAGTGCATGAATTAAAAACTTAAAATTTTCAAAAAGTTTTACCTCTTTCAAAAATAATTAATTGAGGGTATAATAGGTAAAAATATTTTGTCCTTTATTGATTTGTCAAAATAGACAAGTAATTAGGAACAACTAAAAAAGAAAAAGTGGACAAGTAATTAAGGACAAATGGAATATTAAAAAGAGTCGAAGGATAAATTAATAAAAATATTTTTCTTATTTATGATTCTTAAAAGGCCTGTAAAAAATGAACAAGTAAATATGAGACGGAGAGAATACACTCCCTCTATCTCAAAATAAATGTATTTACACGTCTCTTAATTAACATTAATTACGAGGGAGTTTGCTTTGATTAATTAGGAGTTGGGCCGAAACATTCAGTTCAGACCAATAAGCCTTGAGGCCTTCCTGAAGCGGCCCTTTTGAGTATTCGCATTTCTCTCTTCTCTTCAAGTTGTTCTCGTCGCCGACCAGTCCTTGCCGTCTTTTCCTTTCTCACAGACAAACAGAAGGAGGTGGAGTAAAAGGAGAAAGCTCCTCCAATGGCGGCCGCATCGAGAAACCTCATTTCTCATCTCCGCATCCTTTTATCGTCCACAGTTTCAGAAACCCAGTTCAGAACCTTCAGTGCTTGCAGTAGCCAAGTCGAGGAATTAAGGACTCGGATTATCGAAGGAAAACCTGCAATCATGACTCCAAACTCCAAACGGACTGGAGCAATTGCTGTCAAATGTGGAATGACTGCTCTATGGGACAAATGGGGAGAACGCGTTCCCATTACCATCCTTTGGTTGGATGATAACATTGTTTCTCAGGTCAAAACCCCGGAGAAAGAAGGCATATCTGCCCTACAGGTTCTTCAATTTCGATTGATTTTCAATCTAGCATGTCTAGCTTCTTAAAAAATTATGCTAAGTTCTTAAAGACTGAATCTTTGCCCCCACGAAAGTAAAAATGAAATATTTTGTTAGTGCTAGCTGACTGTTGTCAATTATCTGCTCTGTTAATTCAAATGCATCACCTAAAGAGTTTTGTTATAGTTGTATTACTGTATCATAGTACTCATTGCGAGAACGTTGTGAACGTGTTTTCAAGTCTGAATGGATATTCTGGTGTCTTTTACACTTGATATTGGCTGAATAAGTTATCAGCCATTCGACCAAAAATTTTGATAAATAAAAGAAATTGGTTGCCTAATGGTTTTGAGGATGGTGTTGGTTACTCTTTATGCTGTGGCGTGGTCTAATTGATCTTTTTATGGTGGTAGTTAGATTGGATGTGCTCACAAAAAGGAGAAGCATTTGACAAAACCTGAAGTAGGTCATTTTAGAGCACAAGGTGTGCCCATGAAGAGAAAGTTGAAGGAATTTCCTGTTACTGAAGATGCCCTTCTTCCTGTTGGAACTAGCATCAGTGTCAACCATTTTGTTCCAGGCCAGTATGTGGATGTTGCTGGAATTACAAGAGGGAAAGGTTTTCAGGTGTGGAGTAATGTTGATTATGTTTATTGTTTGATTATTCTAGTTGATTGGTCTTTACCTTTTATGGACTTCCGCACGCACCACAGGATACTAGTGATATTGTTTGATGAGAATAACTCATATTTTGACCTCAAATTGGCCTTTGAGACCAAGTTTTCGTACTTAATTGAGTTTTTAATAAAGACGCAACTTGAAATTTTCAATTTTGTTGCTGATTGAGCATTTCTTAATCTTCATGGCAGTTTTTTAATAGAAGTAATATCACATACCATCGTCATAAATATTAGATATGAACTCTCTAAGCATTAGCTAATGGTAGAAATATAGTTTTATTTATGGAACAAAATTCCACCTTTCTAGCTTCTACTGTCTGTTCCACCTCTTAAGATGCGAATTGAACTGTTAGTGTTGTCTCACTCTTGGAGGGCATGTCTCATCTGATGAACTGTACTAATGATTGAGGAATTTCATGAGTAGGGTGGAATGAAAAGATGGGGATTTAGCGGTATGCCTGCATCACATGGTGCTTCATTATCTCACAGAAGTATTGGTTCTACAGGTCAAAGAGATGCTCCGGGAAAGGTAGGCATTACCTTTTCCTCAATTTTATGTAGTGATCTACAGTGTATGAGTTCTATTTTCACAATTAAATAAGTGGGCACTTGCCACACTCCTCTTTTGGTCAAACTTATAACTATGTGCCTGCTAAATTGCAAATAGCATGCGTGGTAATTATTTAAATTGTTTTAAACATGATATGTCATTGAAATTGTTATCTATTTGCGACTGATTGTTATTTATTTGAAGGAGAAGTAAATCTTGTAACTAATAACTAAATAATGCTTCAGTGAGGTGTATTACAAAAAATATTCTAGCAGTAAAATATAGTCATTTGGTACAGAGATATTGTGCAAGACTTGATGAACATTGCTCAACTCTGTTTTCCCCACTCTTTCTTTATTCCTCCACAATTTTAAAATATAATACATTCTCATTGTTAATTTTTTTGTGGACTGCTTACGACAAGATCATTATAAGCTAGCAATGGAACTATGTGTAGCAAGGGGTTATCACTTCATGGGTGAAAGCCATGCACTGATAAGTTTTTGCTTCAAGCTATGGTGCACAAAGTGATTCCAACGAGAATCGGTTGCTTCTTTGTATCTCGACTTTGAGGTGTTGGATTCATATCGGCATTATCATAGGAAGCTAAAATTAGTTATTTAAACTGCTATATAATTTTACTAAATTTGTAGATGATTTAATGATTTTGTTTGGATCATGAGGTGCCTGATAATTTATGATATTCTGAAAACTGTGCATTTCGCTCCAAAGAAGCATGCACTTTTCTTCTCACTTTCGCTTCAAGCTCTATAATCCTTGTAACTTTTTTGCGCTTTTCGCTTCTAAAAACGCTTGAGCCCTTTATCTCCCCTTTGTTAGCTGACCCTACCTTTTCAATTCCATATTTATCCAGCTATAAAATTATGGAGAAACAGAGAAACAACTAGTAAGAAACTAAATTTTCCGCATACAAATGCCAAAACATGTTCATCCACGATATCATGGACAGAGTTCCTTGGCCGATAGTTTTTGAGTGGAGTGTTGGACCTTGGAACTTCCACGCAAGTAGCATATGGTGAGCTGTTAATACAGATAGCGGCTTTTAAATCAAAATTTGGGTTTTATATATCAAGGATGTGTTATTGAACTTACAGAATCTCCACCCACTCCACCCCAAAATTTTTGGGGCGTGGTTGGGCTTACAAAAGAGTACCCATTCTTCTGTACATGCAATTGTTTCTTGTCTCTGAGTGTTTTGCCAGGTAGTTCTAATAGATATTGGGCCACTTCAGGAAGTATGCTCATGCAATCCTCTATCATGTTGTTGAGTTTGACCGTCATGTGTCTAAAAATATGCTCAAGAACCCGTGACATGCTAAATTAGTTGGAGCTTCAACCTCACATCCCGGGAAGATAACTTAGCATTTGATACACTTGATTAACTTATTTGACTAAATATTTGATTGGAACTGAACAAACAATTGATTTTGTATGATGCTGTTGTAGAATCTAGTTAATGTTACAAGCTTCCGCTTTCATTTGTAATTTTTTCTTTAAAGGTATTTAAAGGGAGAAAAATGCCTGGACGCATGGGTGGAGTGCAACGAACTGTTAAAAATGTTTGGGTCTACAAGATTGATCCTGCCAGAAACTTGATGTGGGTCAAAGGCCAGGCAAGATTTTGAAACCTTTCTCGTTTCTTTTAAATTTAATTCACACGGATAAGAGAGTTATCATCCTGAATGCATTGTTTAAATATAATTTTCCTTTCCTTTGCAATCTTTCTGATGAAATTCTATGCGTTCAAACTCTTATTTATGACTAAAAGTTGGTAACTTGTCAAAAAAGAACAGAGAGAGAGAGAGTTGGTAGTGTGACATGGGCAATCAACAGTATTACCCCTCCCCCCTCCCCCGCGGTATGCGCTTTCTGATGAATATTAGCTACCTGTAAAAACTACCAGCTGTCTGCAAATATATGGGAACTAGGGGGGGTTCACTTTTCTTTCTTGGAGGTACCAACTAATTTAGGTCTGAAGAAAGGTGTCATTTCAATCTCTTGCATGGGAACTGTGATTAAACTTCTTCGATCTGGGTGGAATTCTTCAGTATTACGCCAGTCTTTGCGCAGTTCTATGGATAGATAACTCAGAGCCAGTGATTTACTGTAACTTCCTTTCAGGTTCCTGGAGCTGAAGGTAACTTTGTGTTCATCAAAGATTCTGTGTACAAGAAACCAGATATTTCAACGCTTCCGTTTCCCACTTACTTTACCCCAGAAAACGAAGATCAAGCAGATTTGGAACCATTAGTGGCTGATCTTGGTGATACAGACCCTTTTATGGCTGCTGATTGATTCTAGGCAATCTAGCTGTGACCATGGCATTTTCTGTCTTTACGTTTTTTATTTCTTCAACAAGCAGCAGTGAAGTGGTAGAAGGAATTTATTCGTAGTAGTGTTTGACATTTCTCTGGCTGATGGTACTCTAATTTTGAGTTGTACTACAAAATTTATCTACTTCTTGTTGGATAGGGTGAAATTTAGCTACCACTTCCAGAGAAATTGTACAGACACAAACTAATTATGTTGTTGCTGGATGACTAGAGCTAATAACAGAAATATGATGAATGGAGAATTATAAACTATAGTAGTTTGTCATTTTACTTGTATTCTGGTTCAAACCTATAGTTGTTTGCCTCAAAGAAAGTATTTTTGACATGACATGATGGTCCCAAAGGTGGTGTGAACACTTCAGCCTAATCTTTACCTGTCCTACATTGAATGCAGCAATAGCAGAAAATCAAAATTTCTTCAAACAAGTTTGCTGGAAGGTTTGATTGACTGATAATGGAATTACAGGTGTTAAATCAGCTAGTTGAGTTGAATTTGAGCGAATCAAAATGAGTTGAATCAATAATTAAGCTAGTTAATTTTACTTGAGCTGAGCTAATTTTATAATTTCTATGTTTGTTTTATTATAATTAGCTTAAATTATCAATTAAACTTTTATTTTCACAATTCTAACATAGCAATTATTTTTAAAGAAGCATGTGCTATCTCTTTCTTTCTTCCTTCACTTTTAATGGGAAAATGACAGTTTGCAAATAATAAACCATCTTCTAAGCCGTGACTGATGGAAGAAATGAACCCTACAAAGAGAAATCCTCATTTATGCATGTATTCAAAAAGTCTGATCAAACTTATAGACTTTCTGGCCTATTCTTGAAAGGAAACATAGTCTTTATTAGTTCACGGGTCCTTCATCTTTTGTCACTCTCAACTTCAACTACCATTCAATTCCCACCCAAATCAACTCCCAAGTCCTTAAAATTTGGCTAACTCCAACATCTTTAAAACTCTCCATCTTCAACAATCAAAATACATATACTGAGACACCATGGACTGGTTTTCATGGCTCTCCAAAACTAGCCTTGACCCTTCTCTTCTTTATGACTATGCTATTATTTTTGCTCATAATCAACTTGATCAAGATGATATAGAATATTTCAACCATGAATTTCTCCAAAGTATAGGAATTTCAATAGCCAAACATAGGCTAGAAATCCTCAAGCTTGCTACTAAGGAAAAGGGAAGAAGAAGCTCAAGAAAACATATCTTTTGGTTAGTTGTAGCTATCAGGCAAGCAAAACAACATTTTACCAAAAGCTTTAGCACGTGGACTCGTCGGTCAGATTCAAGTGCCTTGCTGCCTCTGAGAAATTGCAGTTCAAGATGGAAAGCATCTATGTTGAAGAGGAAAAAGAAGCTAACTGCAGCTAAACAAGAAAGGCCAGTAATGCAGAGTATTAATGCTACTACTAATCAAGGAAGGTTGATGATGCTCACAAATGGGAGTCCCAATCTCATGATAGATTCTTCTGATGCCTGGATTAGCAGCCCTTCAAGCTCCACTGCTGAGGATTTTCGCGATGATGAAGACATGGACGGCGTTGATGGTGGAAACTGGCCAACTGTTGCTATTGAAGAGATTAAGTGGGATGCAATGTTTCAAGACTTGAAACCTACCTGAGTTGATTGAACTCTCTCTAATATACCTTAGTTAATTTATCCTCATGCTTTTTCTTCCTCTAGATACCTTGAACTTTCAAGTGTTTTTGGGAATTATTGCATTATAATTTTCTGAATTCTTTGTCTATAAGCAACAGAATGCAGAGTTTTAACTTTATCATACTGAACTTCATATCCAAGTTGACTATTATGGTTTCTCAAAAAGAATCATGGTGATTAAACCTTAGCACATTCTTTTCCTTTCAGCCAGTTAATTGACAATGCAATTTTTTCAGTAAGTTCACTCGGCAATAATGAGCTGTATGTTAAGGACTGGCTGTGTCTCTCCCTCTCATTTATTAAGTGGAAATGGAATCTAAAATTGTTAGTACCTTTTTTTTTTGTTTAACCATCTAGTATTTTGAAATCCACTGACCTGACTAATCATGATTCGAGCAGGATAGGCCCACTAAGGAGGTAAAGCGCTTCCTACAAAGATATTATCCATTCCCACCTTGATTACCACTTATTAGCACTGCTAAGCAGCTCTTACTAAGGATAAAAAGCTAATAGTACTTCACTACATTTTCGGAATCAGCCAATAAATTTACTTCATGAAGAATAGAATTTTGCAGGCAATTTAATGCACTATTTATTTCCTGAAATAGAAGCCTCAAGTTGTCCCCCAAAGATCATTACAGAATCAACAGTAGTAGTACATTTTACTGGGACATCAACCTTACTTTCAAACTTCAGTTTTACCCAGAGGAACATGATGGAAGCCACATTCAATGAGAGAACAATTCCAATTATGTTCACAGTAGGAGACAACATTCCCTTGTCAGTAGGGAAATGCAATAGGGATCATGAAAACAGGTAAAATTCTATATTATATATAAATATATAGATGCAAAAGGTGACTACGCCAATTAGTGATCAGAAGCCTGAGCCAAACGGAAAGAACCTGCAGCATACAACATCTGGTAGACTGGTCTGATTCTGATAGTCAAGATCATGCTCAAGAATGCGCCAAAGGCAGAGGCTCCTGCTAAAACCAGAAACGTGAGCCTGAAGCAATTTGGGCCCAGACAGTGCGATCCTTGTTGCTTTCCTGCCTCTGTGTCATAGACATAACCAGCCAGTAGACCAGAAAACAGGAGTGCTCCTAAAGGATTGCCAAGCTGCATGAAGTTGAATATTATGCCAAAATGTTTCAAGCCAAAAAGCTCGGAGGAAGTAGGAATCATTACACCAAACTGAACACCGAAGCAAATCCCTAGTAATGCAGTCGCAGCATAGAGAGTACCACTCAGAGCTGAAGCATAAAGAAGGAATGTTATAATCATGAGGATTTGTGTTATCATCATCCAAAATGTCCGTGGTATTGTTTTTGACCTGCGATAGACATGATAGAAGTATAAAATTGTCGGTCACCACTAAGCCACACAGCAATCTGTCAATCTCTAATTGAAATCATTCTTGAACTTACGCATTAAATGATTTAAGTGATGCATTATCAATTACAAGAATTAGGAGCTAGCAACCATGAAGATGGATAGATTTATCGCTAGGAATAGTATCAATAAGAAATGTCAAATATAGGAAAGCATTTCGAGTTTCTTCTGAAACTGAAAGCATTTGTCCCTTGCCCCCAGCCAAGTGAGTGAGAGGGAATATCAGCACATCATTATCTTCTTTCTTGGGAAACAAAGATAACAGGAGGGGATATACCAGATTATTACCTTACAAAGTGTTCCGAAACAACACCTGCCCCAAGACGGCCCAAGAAATTGCAAAAGCTGAACAAACTCAGTAATATCGTTGTGTCATTTACACCAAGTGCAACTCCAATCTGTGCTAAATTATTAAGAACAGTTACACCAGAGCCAACACCAAAGAAGTATGCAAGCCACAGAAGCCAGAAGTCAGCTTTAATAATAGCTTCACGAAATTTGAAGTCTTCACCTCTTCTAGGTTTCCTTTTCTTCTTCACTGCACCCTCACCCACAGCCAACAGCATATCCACCTCAGAAATATCTTCACCTTCACGGAAGCTCCCAAGGTCTGCTTCTGATGAAATTGGAGTTAATAAGGACGCCGTTTGGCTGGAACTGATTTCTTCTTCAGTCAAATCATTTGAGGAACCATCTAATTTTCCAGGTCTCTTATGACGAGAAGGAAAGATTGTCATCTTCAAGGGAATTGCTAAAGGAGACATCAATAAGATAACCATTACTCCAACAAGTATATAGGAGATGGAATTATTTAGAGATAGAATGGTCTTCAAAATTGTTGTAGTGAGAAGATAAACTGCAAGCAACAGACTTGCTGCTTGTGTGAAAAGAAAATGGACATGCTCAGAAGAATCCTCGCCAGAAGCTGGTGTGCAAGCCCGGATAAAGTACATCATGGCCAAACAGATGATCGGAATTCCCAATGTTAGAAACAGCAACAAATCTGAAGCTGAATCATTAAGAACCATAGCAAAGATCTCTGTGAAAACTGCAGCGCTCAGGCCAATATAGCCTTTCAGTATCCCAGCAACAGTACCTCTACTGAGAGGGAAGTTCCTCATATTGGTGACAAGTACTGCTGTTCCCATCCATGCACTGCTGTTTGTAGCAACTACCAGTGCGAGCCAAAGCTGTCATTCAATCAGATATCGACAGAGAAAACTATGAGAACAAGTTGTCAGTAAAACACAAAACTTCAAATTATGTCAATGGAGCCATACCCCAAACATTTAAAAGAAAACAAATCAAAGAAGTCACCAGAATAAAGCAATGACATTGCGATTTGATTGAAATGAAGAACATGTAGTAACATCTCTCTTCTCAACATGTGGTTAAAGCCATTGAGTCAAACAAGGATTTGAAATTGATAGAGTGATGACAAAATCAGATACTTCTTCCTCAAGTTCCCAATTGGAAGTACCAAAAGAGAAATACATCTTACAACAACTCTTGATATGCAAACTTGCAACCGAGTAAGCTTGAAATGATCTAAATCATTTGTGGCTAGCTAGATGAAAAGTAGAACCAAGACACTAAAAGAAGAAAAAAATAGAACTTGAAGAAAAGAATCGCACTTAAGTACACATATAAGTCGGAGTTCCCCACATATAACATAGAATGCTGGTGATACATAGAGCTTGAACACTTCAAAGCATAGCTTGAGAAATATAAGAGTTTGAAGGAGGCACTAGACAGATGAGGTGACAAAAGAGACAGGGTGCATAATCTAGGAAGAGGTGCATCAATAACAGAGCTTTCAGAAGAAAAAGAAAAGAACCCCTAAGAGCCTATTTGGATTGACTTATTTTAAGTGTTTCTAAGCTAAAATAGCTTTTTAGCACTTTTGGAGTGTTTGAGTAAATTAAAGAAGTGCTTATAACATATAAGCACTTGGTTTAAAGCTAAAATGATAAAAATAAGTCAAAAACTAAATTGCTTATAAGAACTTGCTAGTATGCAATGACCTAACACTCTTATGAACAGGGGCGGACCCACATAGAGTCCACCGGGTGCTCGAGTACCCATTAACCTCGTCTCGGAATATATATGCAATGACCTAACACTCTTATGAACAGGGGCGGACCCACATAGAGTCCACCGGGTGCTCGAGTACCCATTAACCTCGTCTCGGAATATATATGCAATGACCTAACACTCTTATGAACAGGGGCGGACCCACATAGAGTCCACCGGGTGCTCGAGTACCCATTAACCTCGTCTCGGAATATATATGCAATGACCTAACACTCTTATGAACAGGGGCGGACCCACATAGAGTCCACCGGGTGCTCGAGTACCCATTAACCTCGTCTCGGAATATATATGCAATGACCTAACACTCTTATGAACAGGGGCGGACCCACATAGAGTCCACCGGGTGCTCGAGTACCCATTAACCTCGTCTCGGAATATACATATATATATATATATATAGGTAGAAATGAAGAGGTATTTATATAAAATTAACATAGAGCACCCAATGAACAAATGATCTGCTGATCCATTGGCTCTTGGTGTGTGTGCTTAAGGTTGTTTAAGTGTTGTTAAGCCCGGGTTTGAATCTCACTGTTAACATGTCTTTTTTATATTTTTGACTCCGCCACTTTCAGAGCACCCACAACCTTAGAATCCTACATCCGCCACTGCTTATGAAGGAAGCTAATGATAATTACTCCTCCACGAATACTGATAGTTAAGGGAAAGAAAAGAAAAATAAGGGGATTGCAAGAATTTTTCAAGTGAAATAGAAAGCAAAGTAGAGTTAACAGAAATTTTAGCTGCATTTTGCAGATATAATACTATCTATGCTTTGATTCACTATCCACTGCTGCTTTGAGTTCTTGCACAAAACAAGGCTAAACTAAATATGAGATATAATAATCAAAGAAAGATCAGCAGAATGCAGATACTAATATCTGATGTTTCACTTCATAGTTCCACTCTTGTGGTAGAAAAATTCACACAATAGAGTTAGCTTGGCAATTAGAGCAGAAGGAAGGCAGGGGGAATAAGTTGGAGGCTCACCAAGAAGGTTCACGCAAGAACTATTACATCCATTTTTGCAAACAAGATCTAGTATGTGCTACTTTTTGTTTTAAACAACTTCTAAATGCAACATTGGCCAGATATGATGAATATATGCAATACCTTCTGTGAAGGTACAGTCAGCTAAATTCTAGAATGTAATCTCAGGCAGGAAATGATCCTCTATAAGGTTCAGAACTTTGCACTCATATTCACAGATGTTAACCTCTTCATCATTAGAATATCTAGAGTTCCAAAAGATTAGTGAAGAAGTACTAACAATAGCAAAATAATAAGCCTACGAGAAATGGTTGGTAGTTCCTCCAATTATTTCTCAACTGTCTATTCAGGTCCAAACAATGAAAATAGATCTAATCCATGTCAAAGTTAAAGTTTACTGAAAAAAAAGATCTAATCCATGTCAAAGTTAAAGTTTACTGAACATGAACTCATACAATAAGGATTAACAGAAGAATTTATGTCACATGCATGTACTCAGGTCACAAACCTCCTAGCAATCAAAGACACATGGTTTAAGAATTTAAAGGTACAATAGGAAAATCCAAATACAGATTCCACATTCCAGTAATTAAACATACCTTTTTTTCTTGTTTACGTGTTGAGATAAGATACAAATGCACAAAGAAATGAATTTGTGCCTAATCCAATGGCACATCTGAACATGCTGGTGGTTCAATCCCATAACTTAAAATTAGATGTACCCAAGACCAAGAGTACCATAAATTGAACCTACTATCCTCAGTATCAGCATTCACAATAACTCAGTGTTTCTATAACAGAAATAGTTCATAACTTATCTTTAGGAGGAACTAAACCTGGAATCAATTAGAGCATAACCTTTCTCCCACCCACCCCCAACTTAAAAATCAACCATTAAATACAACAAACCCACTGTAATAAAAGAGACAACAGTTAAAATAGATACTATAATAGGAGGAAGATCAGGCAAGGCAGAACTTAAACTGTAAAAAGAAAGAGAGTAAGCAAAAGAATTCAAGAACTCACAACCCAGTAAGGCAAGGACAGTACAGTCTGGCTGACAGCAAGCCAAAGAACACCATAGCCAAAAAAAGAAAGGCAGAGACCAACAAGCAAAATAACCCAAGGTGGGAACTTGTTGCAAGCTATTCCTGGAAGAATCCCAACATTCTCCCCAATATCATTTGCTACTCCAATAATAGTCAGCTGCTGCTGACTGAAACCCAAAACTGATTTCAAAGCAGGGGAATAAAGGGGGAAAGTATAAGCTGAGCCAGCTGCTATCTGTACCCAAACAGCAGCAGCAAGACCTACCCATGGTGGTCTACTTCCTTCTTTTAGGACAGCCATTCTTGAAACTACAAAATTTGCACCCAAAATTTAAAAAGACCAATTTTTTTATACTCCCCAACTTGGTAGAGACGATGATCATTAATGTAAGAACAACTTGAAATAGACCAACAGCAGAAGGGACTGTGGGAGAGAACAACGAAGTGTAACGTGGACAAATTCTCCAGATGGTCCATAAGTTGTACTACATTTTATCAAGGCTTAAAGTCATCTGCGGCTCCTTAAAGTTATTCGCATAATTCGTTTAAATAACTCAAGTAAGGTTTATACCTATTGAACACCTATGCTCCTTAAAATTGATACCTATTTGACATTTTTTTTAAAGTCAGCCAAAAATATGATATGTGTGTACTACACTCGCTGTGATGTGGCAAATTGATGAATTAAATGATTACATGTGGTATTTGGTTCCAAAAATTTATTTTAAAAATGAATTTCTAAAAAATAACTATTTTAGTTAATTTAGCTAACTAAAAAAAATAAAAAAGAATTTTCTAAAAAACCCACCCATCCACCCACGGCAACCCCTCATTTTTTTCTCTCCAGTTGATCCAAATCGTCCCCAACTCTCCAACAAGACAATCCCTCCCTCAATCGATTTTTCAATTGTAATTCTCTCCATCTAGTTTTGGTGCGAGGAAGATGAAAAAGGTTTCGTCGGAAAATTTTGAATTCTTATTACCCATGACCGAAAAAAATGGAGTTACCTGACAGATTTTTTCTGAATTCCATAACTGGTGTTTTTTGGAGTTGAAGAACTCTTCGTTTCTTTTTAACTATCAATTTTAATTCTATGGAATTTCATGATACCATTTTTAATAAGCTTAATTAGTTTACATTTTAATTTGAAGTGGTGATATCTGTTTGAGTGACCAGAAATAGATATGAAGAGAGGCCGACTAACTTTTTTAACTTCAATGTTTGAAAATCTTCTTTCTTCTTGCAAAATCACATCAATTCGTAGATTCAGAATTCTTCTTTCTTTTTATTTGCAAAATCACATCAATTCGTAGGTTCAGATTTTATATATATAGAGAGAGAGATAACAAAGAAAAAAGAAGTGCAGAGAGTTTGGAGTTTGAGGAAGAAGATGATGGCTGGAATAAGGGGGTGGGGTTGATTTCTTTGTTTATCAAGAAATCAAATAAATTTTAGTTATTTTAGTGCCCAATGTCAATAAAAGAATAAAAGTATAAGTTTTTAAAAAATAAAATATATTTGAACCTATTCACGCGCTAATACTAAGTGAAGTACACTTATGTTGCCACATCAGCATTTTGTGTTTAATAGGTACGTGTTTTGAACAATTTAGGTGTTCAATAGGTACAAGTCCTAATTGAGGTGTCTAAGTGAATTATGTGGACAACTTTAAAGGTCTGTCGATGACTTAAGCCTTTTATTAAAGTGTGATGGGACACATGACTTCAAATTCTCCTCCACCTTTGTTCCGCTTAAGTTGTGAACAATACTAGTCCGGAGTCTAAAGGATACTTTTTCGATTTCTTATGAGGAAATAAATGCACAGTTCTTTACCATATAATTTTATTGATATTTTTTAGCTAAGAAAAGTGTTCTTTAGACTTCAAATTCAGAAGAATACCATGTATATAAAGATTTGAATGGAAAAAACCTTCTTCACACACATTTCTAGTGTTGGTTTGTATAAATATTTTTTATTGGAACGAATTCCCTTTAAGGTCTATATAGTACTCTATTCCATTACATGCGTAAGGACAATAAGAAAAATCAGCTTTTGTTGGAATAATTACAACTAATTCTATCAATAATTATAGTGATCGAACCATATGTCCTTTTCCAACCGAAAGGAACTTACCTATACACTCGATCATTTAAAAAATTATTTACATTAATGATTGATTGCTTAGGGTCAGGAATCACTTAACTAATATTACCTAACAACATTAATGTATCCAATTTGAGCAGTAAAAAGTAAAATTTCCTTTCTATAATTATTATCTTGGCAAATCTCTAGATTATTTTTAATCTTTCACTAGAAAAAACAGTCCATGTAAGGAAGCTATCACCATTAGCATCCAAAGAGAGCAAAATATAGGAATCATAGTTGCAAAACGTTGTTATTACAAGGATCTGAATCATAGATGGACTTGGGCCGGCCCAAATTATACATACATATTCAAATGGATAATATGGGCTTGTTCCTAGGTCCACTTTGCCACACATTAATGTATCCAACCTCTCGCTCTTTTTGAGTGAGTCTATTGAAAATAATCTCTCTGTCTCAACGTACCGTGGATATGTTGTATATATAGTACTCTAACGTTTGTGTATTTACTGTTCATATTCTACTTTTTTTAACAAAAATTTTAAGTAGGTCCAACCGGGGCAAAAGATGGTGCGTCTGAGTTGTATTTTTAAATAGTCTCGTGAATATTTAAGTAATGAGGAACAATGTATGAAGCTGCAGTTAAGGCATATAGTATTGAGGAGCCTAGCATTTCTTGTATCACCTCCATCAAACACGCATAACCATCCACGTGCTTTCTTCAATACCCCAAATTTTATTCATTTCTATGCAAAAAAATCAACTACCATTTAGAATGGCAGTTGAAATAATCAATTTTTAGTCTCTTCCATTTTAGGCTTGCCAACGCTGCCTTCGGTATAATTTGTTCAATAGAAATTAAACAAAGGAGCCCACTCACCCCACACATCATGTTTTTGGACATCATTTTGCCAAAAAAAGTCTTGAATACACTATTTAGAAATTTTTGGCCAAGTGCCACTTTTCTCTTTCCATTCTGGCAAGTCATCTCTACACTTTTTCATCAAATTCGTAGGGTCTCCATTTTGGGGGTTATTATAAATTGCAATATTTACTGTTTAAAAGTTTAAAATACTTCAATTTTTTTCTTGGTCCATTTGTACTTCGCTTTGAGTCGTAGATGAATTCGCCAAGAGGTCACTGTCATGATCCGCAGGCCACATTCCACAAGAAAAAATCAAACCTGTAAAAGAACGCCATATGTTAGCATCAATAGTTGTTGTGCTTCGCATATTAAACAGACACCAAAAAATGAACTAACAATCAACTACCAAAAAATGAACCTCCAAATAAGTAGATTAATGGCACGCAGATGTACCGATTATTAAGTTCTAGCTGAGTATGCAAAAAAATAAATCACAATTTGCACAAACAAGGAGAAAAAAAACTGAGATTAATTTTGACGTACGTCCAGTTGATTATAGATCTTTAGATTATATTGTGATATATTGAAAAGATGTATATGACATGCTCCTGACTCTAAACAACAACAAAAAAATACAAAATTTTTGGGGTTCGGGAGTTTTCGCCTGAAAACTACAAAAAAAGGCATAAGGCCTTTTCCCGAGTCATCCCCTGGTGACTCAGTGAGTTGATGCTAAATCAGGAACTGTACAATCAAAACGATTTCACAAAACCCTCTTTAATTCTCGGCCTTCGACATGACGGAGAGCCGGCTAGGTCGCGGCTGAAAGTCGTCTCTTCGCCTGAGCTGATGAGAAGATGGACGGATCAAAGCGGCAAGCGCTCTTTTTACCAGATCACCTTCTACAGTTCCAATCCGGACGAGTGAGTTTGTCATCGCCGATCTCCGCATGTTCAGGTGATAGCTAGATCGATAAGAGGAATTTGAATGACTCCGATTTTGGCTCATATTTTTGTGAAAACTGCAACGGAATGAACCTGGATGCGTTGTCGGTGAGCACATGCATGTTTTCTTCTGATTAGACGGCAACGGCCTGCTGGTCTGCTTTTGTTGATGAGGGTAAACTGAAATCGAACGGCCTGCAGAGGCGGAAAACCTTACATTTGGCGATGGGGAAACGGATCGGCGAAGATTCACCCGGGTTGGAGATGTGGATCGGGTCATGAAATCGGAATCGGAATCCCTGTTGGAGAAACTGGAAAAACTAGGTGAAGTTGAAGACATTGAGTATGAGCAGAACCGACCCGAAGGTGAAGTGGATCGTTGAAAATGGTGATGAAAACTTGAACCATGAGTTTTGCTTCTAGAAGATGAAGCCTCCATTGTTGTTTTAAAAAAGAGAAAAGAAAAAAACAATATTCTGAATTTAGAAGAAATACCTTGAAAGTGCCGTTTTGCTCTCTATTTCGGCAAACCTAAGTATAACGAAGGCGACGATTATATAGGAAAATGAAAGCAAATGGCAAGATGGTAATTTAATGACACTCGAGGGGCAGTAAGGTAAACTAGCACAGGGTGAATATGTTGGGGGGTGTGGGGGCTAGGGTTTTCCAATGGGTCAAACGGTAAATCACCCAAAAAGCTATGGGCTATGAGCTTCTTCGATGGCAACGCTCACGCGACAAAAAGAGAAGTGATGATGACGCGCTATTAATTGTGTGTCGTGTTGTGCACGTTGTACCAAAATGGAGGTGGGATTGGGAAAAGAAGTTGGGCGCCGAATCTGTGGCCATTTTTCTGTAAGATTTAAAGAGTGATTGACACGTACCCCTATGCCTTTGTTGGTGTCCCCAAATCAAAGGAGGGAACTACAAGAATAATCCAACTATTGTCTTGACTTCTGGACTGACGATATTGTCCCTTATGTCGGTCACTTATTTACCCTTTAAACCCATCATATTGAGGGGTTACTTGGGAATAGGAATTGGGAAATGCTATCCAGGTGTCCATTATTTCAATTTTTAATTGTATTTAATTAAACCTTAAATCGTGATTAGCGTATTAAATTTGGGGTCGTTTGGTAGGGAGTATTAGGAGAAATAGTCCTTGTATTATGTGTGGTATTATGTAGTACTATGTTTGATAGGAATTTTGGACCTATATATAACTAATCGATGGATTAGTTATACACCCTCCATGGTATTATAGGGTGTATAACTAATACCTTCCATTTGGTGGTATTAGCAATACATGAGATCTATTACCATGGGATTAATATATGTAAAGACAAAAATACCCCCTCAATCCTTTCATTTTATTTATTTTCTTGGTTTTATGTTTTATATTTGTACAAATAAATTTATTTAAATCGATTAGCTTACAAACTTTATTATTTAAATAGAGTTATTTGTAGCTAAAATATGAGTTATTTAATCTAATTATTATTAATATAAAATATTATAATCAGACTAATATGCTAATGTTGATGATGAATTTAAG